GCATATACAACATTGCTCTGTTTGTGCCGGGGCACCGGATCTTTGGGGTGAACCAGCCTTTGCCGTAATGTGTTTAAAAGCCTGAATTTTGCCTGAAACTCTCAGACTGAAGAAGTCTCTTGGAGGAGAGACGAAACGTTTCATTAGAGAAGAACCCGTCCAGAAGACCTATACTATTTTTTTCTTTTTGAGTTCTGTGAACTTATTAGGATTTACAGTGTACATGCTTTCACGCCAAAATATGAGAAGTTAACTCTCCCAGCTTTTTTAATTGTTAGTCAATCACAGCATCTGGTCCTTCCAGGTCTATCACCCGAGCCTACTACCGTAACTCAGTGGGCGGCCTCTTGCTCTTTGACATCACAAACCACCGCTCCTTCCAAAACGTCCACAGCTGGCTGGAGGAGGCACGGAGCCACGTCCAGCCGCACAGCATCGTCCTGCTGCTCGTGGGACACAAGTGTGACCTGGAGGCCCAGCGGCAGGTGAGCCAGCACGAGGCCGAGAAGTTGGCGGGGGCCTACGGGATGCGCTACGTGGAAACATCAGCGCGGGACGCCATCAACGTGGAGAAGGTTTGGACTTCGTTTCGTTGTTTCGTTGTCACTTTTCTTTTTGTTTTGCTTTGCTTCATTTCAAACTCGTACTTTCAAAAACCTCGATCCTGAGAAGAATTAAAGGTATTCATCATATATAAGTATACGTGGCTGCAGTGTTGACAACTTAGTGACTTTGTCACTATATCTAGCAAGTTTTCAGACCCCTTAAGTGACTTTAAAAAGCAACTCTAAACAAATCCAGACTTTTTTTGTATTATGGAAACTTTGGCAGCTATGTGTGAAAGCACCAATTGTTCTGCAGTTAGTAGCTGCGTTTCCGTTGCAAATGTGCACAAAAATTTGTCGAAAAAACACAGTTTCGCAACTGTGGTGTTTCCATTAAGTAAGAAATGCTATTAAAGTCAAGCATGAATATGTTTGTTCTCGTGATAAGTCATTGCAAACATGGCGGCCATGGATGTAAACACAGAGCATGTTGCTACCACGACACTAACGCTCATTATCAGAGGAGACGTCGGCATCTTATTGAGGCGTTCGAGTGACAAGCCCCTTATGCTTGGGAGTGGTTACATATGTGATGTTTTTGGGAAATTGTAGTCGGTGAGTTAATTACTTTCTTTTACTACTTTGTTGATTTCACTTCTATTTCTACTTCCTGTTTTCTTCTTCGTCGTCATCTTTTTCGCCAGCAGAAACAACCAGTTCTTGATCATGTGACTCCCTTGAGGCGAAAAAAGTGTTTCCATTGCAGTTTTGCGAAAAACACCAACTTCGAAATGTCCAAAAAACATCTCATCCAAGCGCAAAAACCTTTTGTCGGAAAAAAGGAAGTTTTTTCAAAACTGACGTGTTTCCACTGAGCAATTTTATTGTTGAAATTCTAATTTGCGCATTTTCATGGTCAATGGAAACACAGCTGTTCTCAGTGCGCAGCGTATGCTGCCATAAGCCCCTCCCACTTCCCAAGCATTGACAGCTCATGCAGCAAACCCAGTCTGCAGTCAGAGCAGAGAGGAGACCCAAATGAATCCTATATCCTGTGGCCCCAATAAAAGAAGAAGGTTGAGTTTATTCATCGTACAAAACAGTGATTGTGCTATCGTTTTGATGTATTTCTTTTGCGTTTCAGGCGTTCGTGGAGCTAACGCGGGAGATCTTCGAGCTGGTGCGCAGCGGGGACATCACCATCCAGGACGGCTGGGAAGGCGTCAAGAGTGGATTTGTTCCCAACATGGTTCATTCCTCCGAGGAGGTCACGAAGGGGAGCAGGCAATGTTTGTGTTGATTGGCTGACAGGTGGGAGGCGGGACATAGGAACTAACTGGACCTGAGCTTCCTGTTGCTGCGGCTGCTTTCAGGCCAGGAGCTGTCGGGACTGTTCAGTCCTTCCCAGTTTACATGTAAGGTACTGTTTTATCAATTAGGTGCCTGATTAATCCCTCCCACCACACCACCACCACTCCGCCCCAACAGAAGCACAAGAAGCATCCTGACCTTTGACCTTTCAGTCTGCATGTGTGTCCACTTCAGCTTTATGCCACTGTTGGCCTTTCCTGGTGTGGAACAAATCTCCAGTTGTTGGTTTTGTTGTAGTCAGTCCCTGGATGGATTCATTCATACTTCATGTGGCTCTCTGATTCATGCTCTGAATGCTTGTGTGTTCACGTTCCAGAGAGGAGAGCCACATCTGTACCAAGTGATAAAACAACCCAGTCCATGTTTGAGACGCTGCTCTGCGCTCTAGTTCAAACAATATTTAAAGGGGCAATATCATGTMAAATCAACTTTTTTGAGTTTTATATCATGTTATAATGTTATACTCTCATAGAAAACATGCCCAAAGCCTTGAGAAATCCTGCAGCGTTTTTAGGAAGCCATGCTGAGGAGCAAAACGACAGGTGGGGACAACGCCCCTGGGACGTGTCTTTAAGCCGAGCCCCCCCATCACTCCTGCAGGTTCTTGGCAGCAACAAAGCATACGAGTGAACCTTAAACTGTCTGCTGAGCTCTCATCATTATTTCTCACTCTTTTCAGATTCAAAATACCTTTGAGGAAATGTATTTTCAGATGCCAAGTAAAATGCATCATAGCCACCCCCCGCACCGAAATGGGCGAGACAGAAGCGGAAGGTGGTTCTTAAAGAGACAGAGGCCAATTTCAAGGTGTTTAGAAGAGGAAGTGATGAGAAGATATGTTTATTTTCTATTTAAACATAAAACCAGGATTTTAATAACAACTAAAGGTGACATAGATACTTTATTATGGTATAGTATTTAAATGTACGCCTGAGAAACACATAATATTGCCCCTTTAATGGTTTATTTTGGGGTCAGAAGGCAGCTCACTCACTGCCGTTTGAACTTCATCTCAGCTGTAGGTACAGTCTTTAGATGGTTTAGTGGTGAATCCAGGAAAACACAACTGTAGCACCTCCGAAGTGTTTTATACGAGTTGTGAAACATTACCCAAAAAATAATTGACTTGACATTTACTTTTCTGCACTTTTATTATTATTATTTTTAATTTTCAAGTCATGTTTTGCGTTATAGCTGCATAATATTGAGCTTGTGATTTGTGTTGAATTTTGCAATGACCCCCATCTCGACTGTATGATCTGAACCAGGCATGGCCTTCACGGCCAGATTGGAAATAAATCATTAGCAAGCATATYCTGAATGCCACTATAAGTATAACAGTAAAATATATGATGTTTTTGCAATTCAGTGCAATTTAGATATCACACRTTAATTCTGCAAAACTAATAAATGTTGAATATTCTGTGCTTCATTTTTACACCATTGTGTGATTTGTGAGCTCTGACAGCTGTAGTTGGTTAACATGGGAATGAACTTTTTGTTAATTTTATAAACAAATCCTAATCTATCKAAACTGAAACCATATTAGTGGTAATCTTTGAAATGTTACATTAATTAGTCAGCTGCTATTCATTTTATTCAACACAATGAAACATGCTTTCAGAAAACGATAATTGAAAAAGAAATCTGTTTTTTTTTATAAAAGCTCAGTTTATGCCCACAATCGTAGATTTAATCAAACCTGCACTTCAAGTCAATGCATGCCTCTAACTCAAGGTTTCTAAAGAAAATTATCTTCATTGTAAGAAAATATTATTGAAATCCATCTAACCCAGATTTCAGGCTTTTTTCTCAAGCTGTAAGGTGGAAGGGACTTGTTCGAGTGCCTTTGGATGAAACATTGTTTTACACCAAGTGGAAATAATTCATTTGAAACCAAACCTTGGCAGAGTTGACAGTTTGATGTTTTTGTGACTCTGAATTTATGACAGCACAAGTTTCATCAACAATAAATCACTGGAAAACTTGACTGAAGACTCTTCTTAAAGAAATAGAGTGTTTGAGAATAAAACTGCATTTATAAGAATTTATATCTGAGCTGCAATCACCAACATGATGATGTTTCTGACCACTAGAGAGCAGCCTGAGTCTTTGGAGAGGACAGCAGTCCAAACCTATAAAACACAGACCTTTACGTTGGTAAATGTTGGCTTCTTAAAATGTTTTTATCATACAGCATCTTTAAATAAACAGTTGTTCCAGTTTCAATTGGAGCCTACAGATAGCAATATCCTCAGCTTATTAGTATCGCCTTGTTTTGTATGATAGAATATGTGTGTTATGGCAATATTTATTTAACAAAGACAGAAATACGCTAGTCCAAGAATGAAGGTACTCCGTGAGATGATCAGCTGAGTTTTATTGCAGCAGGAAACACAGAGAACCTGGCCTGTCTCTGTGCCTCTGCTTCTCTCTGTCTCTCCACACTACTGTTGAACTCTGTTCACTGCCGAACTCTGTTGAACTCCACTGAGAGGCCTCATATATATATTAACAAACACCATTATGCCATCTTAGCAAGATTTGATTACAAGGTCAATGGAAAACACAAAGATAAACACAAGTGATGTCTAAGAATGACTGTTGTTAGCAGATCTTGTTCTGACTTTAATCATTCTGTCTGCAGATGAACAGMATGTCATGAAAACCTAGGTCATTAAAGGATGTCATGAATCACCTGCTTAAACATAAAGTATTAGTTCTATTACAATGTGCTTTTATTTTTATGGCATAGATCTGAGAACAAATTGGTAATAAAGAGGTCATAAATCTTTTGAATCCCCATTAAATAATTTATAGAGGCACCACTGCTTTCCTTATGGAGACAGGAACGCATAAGTTTAGATGCCGTGCGCTTTTTATAATTTGTTAAAATGTTCAAGAAGGGCTTTGGGTGTCCACTCCTGGTCTTCAAGGCCACTAGCTTGCATGTTTTAGTGGTTTCTATGCTCCGACATACAATGAAGTGCCTGTGACATTCATATGCTGTATTTGTAATAAACATGAATGCATCTTCGGAAAAATAACATTGACAGCGGTCAGTGTATCTTTTGGTCATTGGATTTTCATTTTCGAAACGGGTATTAAAAAACAAGAAACGATTGGATATTTGATTTTTGTTTTAAAATACTGCCAACTTACTGTATCCCTACAATAAACTGTTTCACCACCAGAAGGGGTGTCTGCAATATCAAAGTTACTCAATAAACATCCCATTACAAGTAAAAAGCATTGATACTGACTTTGGTATCAAATAAATTTGCCAAGTATTTATTTGGTATCAGATCGATATCAAAGTCRTAGTACTGCYCACCCCTCACTGAAAGGAAAACTCCGAGAACGTGAACTGACAGAAACAAGCACAGATTTTGTCAAAACTCAGGAGGAAAAAAAACCTTTGTGCTCACAGAACAACYGTACAACACACTAACAGAATGRAATTTATCTTATTTTGCTTTTTATTGAGAAAAATGGAGATGAAACATGGAGGCAGTAGCTGATATGTATTCAGTAAAAGAGACTTATTTGGCCAAAAACCACATGAATTATCTCTGCAGAGCCTTTGGTCACWGAGCARCAGTCATCATACAACTCATTTATGGACATATTTCTCTGTGTTTCAGTCTCTTATTTACAGAAATCAGTGTTTCATTATGCAGAGCTGCCAGGCGAGCGCCCCTTCTGGTGGGGGAATAGATAGTCGTAGAATATGAACAAACAAGCCTTTTTCTGTTTCTGTCTTCAAGTAATTTTCTTTTTTTCTATCTGAAACAGAAAATGAAACTCAAATCATTTTTAACATTTTGTTTTTCCCTTTCGACACTAAGAATGAGACATGCTTTGTATTTTAATCTTAATGTCATTATTTTAAAACAAAAATCAAATATCCACTCATTTCTTGTTTTTTAATACCCGTTTCAAAAATGAAAATCCAATGACCAAAAGATACACTGACGATAACATATGGCAAAAAATAAAAATTCACACGCTGAGATGCACAGCTGTTGAGACATTCGCATGTGAAGTAACAGGAAGTGATGTCAAAGGGGAATGTTTCCTGTGTGACTAACAGCACAGACTGTAGAGAATACTCTGATGCTTCTTTACATTATTTTGGATCACTAGAGAGAGGAAGAAGACAAAGACCAGAGAGTTCCCTTTATTAAAAAGTTCCCCTTTGATGTCACTTCCTGTTTCACTTTGAGCCAAATTCAAAAGAAAATAATGCGTCAAAATTGGTTAAAAAAATTATGTGCATTACGCCAAAATTACTTAATTATAGATATATATATATTTTTAATTTTTGTGGTTGAAAGACATGCATGTCTAAGGAGCCCGCAAAGGGACATGGGAGATATTTTTTCCTTTTGCGTTCCGATGCAGTATTGTGAGTTAACACAATAGTATTGCATTACCTCGCAACACCTTTTGCGAGGTAGCACAAACATAATACGAGGTTATGCAAAAGTATTGCGAGGTGATGCAATAGTATTGTGTGGGAATGCAAAAAAAAAAAACAAAACAAAAAAAACAAACAAATCCCCCCCATGTCCCCTCGCGGGCTCCGTACAAGTCACATGCACTTTAATATAAAATATACTATAAACCAATAAATATAGATTTTGATAAATATGTAAGGTTAATCAAACTAGTTTCTATTTTCTACAAATTGTTCATCTGTCAATCACCTGAGGTGGCTAATCAGGTTCCAGAAGTGGCAAACACCACCTTATTCACTCCTCTGGCTCCGCCCCTGGCTAAACTGAAATCTTGATAGTGGGGAAAAAAAATAAAATAAAATAAACAATAGAACTGAGTTACTTTCAGCTTTCTTGTGTCAAGTTTCAAAGTAAAAGTAGACAAACTGTGAACTCAGTTTGGCTCTGCAGTATGTGAGTAACTGCTGACTCATAACTGCAACTTCTAGCAGATTCGCAGGAAAAACAAACTGCATTAATCATTTTTTATTTTAAAAAGTTCATTTTTTTACATGACAGCAATATGTACAGGATATAAAACAGTGAAAGATGAAGTGCTGCTGGTAATGAAACAGCACAGAACAGGGAGATGTTTGGACTCAAAGGCACAAGGGTGAGTCACAGACTCATCGCGAAGCATTTTGATGACAATTTACTGACAGGTTTCTGTGGAGTTCTTCGTTTGATCAGAAATTCAGAGGAAAGGTCACATTCACCCTGTGACAAATCTACACTTGTCTAAATGCCACTTCAAATGGTTTTAGACGAAAGTTTAGACTCATCGTTGGGAAAAAAAATGTGAATTTATCCTCAACTTTCTTCTTTAGGAACATTTTGTTAGATATGTTCTAAAGAGTTTCGCTTCCACAGGAGCAAATCTTATTTGGATTTCAGCAGCATTGAACCCTTCAAGTGTAATTTACAAAACCATCACAAATTACATTTAAAAAAAAGGGGGGAAGATATATATGCATACTTTACAGCATTATACAAAAATTCAGTTTTCGACAAATACTGTACACTCTACAGTAAAACACTATAACAAATAATATCAATAAGTTATCTAACGGACTCCAAACATTTGGGGGAATTCATCTGTTCTCAAATAATTAACTGACCAACTTCAAAATGGTCGATTTTTCTTTCGGAATACAGTTTCCAAAAATAATTTCAGTTTAGTTGACAAGGATGTGACAACACAAGATGAAAACTAAAATAAAAACCAACAAACAAACAAACAAAAAAAAGGACCAACAAAACTGTACACATGAACATCTAAACACATTCATTGAAAAGAATATATAAAACACAGAAAATAAAACTATCCCTAAGAGGCAGTACTATAAAAGACTTAAATATTAACATTTCTGTTTGACAAAAGTTGTAAAAAATAAAATACAAGTGAAGGAATCTTAACAGACAAAGCTGCCAAGAMGTTTTAACTGGAACTAAAAACAACAACCTTTGTGGTTACATAAAACCAGCTTTAACCCTACGTTTACTAAAATGATTTTAAATTCATGAGCAAGGATACAGCTTGCTGTGTTTTCTGACTTCTGAAATATTTTAGTTTTGAGCCACACAAGTTTAAATTAAAGGCCACAGAATGTCTGCCAACACTATAAAACGGTGTCAACACTACAGAAAAATATATACATGTATTGTAAATCCCTACTGTTTTAAAAGCGTACGTCTAACCTACAGCTGTTCTTTGGGCAATTATGTTTTAAACCTCAAGTCATCTGGATTTTGTCTCTAAATATTGAAGCTTAACATCAACCAGAAGTTACTGAGCTACCTGCGATGACAGACACTGCTGACACTAACTAAACACACTCACTTTACTGAATCACATCTAGAAGAAGCCAGTGATTTTCATCTGTCCCTCTGCTTTAATGAACCCTGCAGGTTGGACAGATTTACACCGTGGTTCTTCGAGCGGCTCCGCTCGCAGTAAACACAAATAAAATGTAACAGCGTTCCAGTTTCATTTAAGGGGAAAATAAAAAAAACAAAACACTGATGATTTCAGCACGATGAGTTACATCCATTCAGAATGTGTTATAGCCTGGTAACGGTCTGCTGCGGGTTCATTAAAACCACGTTTGAAAATCAGACAGGTGGTCCAGGAAACGATTTTGTCCCAGCGTCCGGTAAAGTTACTCAGCCTCCAAGTTAGAGGTAAGATGTGTGTGTGGCGGTTTGTCTTCTTGCCTCTCCCTCCCTTCAAACTGAGAGCAGCGTTCCAAAAGCCACCTACACTGCAGATGATCAGAAACTGAGTGTAGATGCTCCTCAACGGCCCTCAGGTCTGTCAGTGTGCATCAGGGGCTGCTGCCCGCCTCCACGTCGCTCTCGTCATTGGCGCCTGTGTAAATGGGCTTCTTGTTCTGCAGCGCCGGCTCATATTTGCGTGGGGACGACCTGTTAGCCTCGCTGCTGTTCCTAACACCATAGAGGAAGTAGATGAGGAAACCTGGAAGGAGAGAAAAGATTGGGCAGGTCGTTATAAAACGTCAACACACCAGGGCTCCTATAGTTTAAAGCAAGTTAAATTTAAGACTAATTTCATAATAAACACAAATGACAAAAAAATAAAACTGGCAGCAACTCATGAGTCAAAGTATTTTTGGTTGAAATATTCAAATATTTTGTTTTTATCTATATCTAACTGCTTTTTCATCGAATATAGCAAAAAACATTCTTAGCCGTCAGTTTAATGACCCAAAATTCGTAGTTTTAGGACCCACAGTGGGGTCTTAACCCCAATTTGCTGTAGATGGAACCTTAAAGTGCCTGAGACATCAAAATATGTAAGAAAAGTTAACGCTTTTTTGGAAAGACAACATTATTAACATATTAAAAAAATAATTTCACATTGCTCAGATGGACAGTTGTTGAGATATTTGCATGTGAAATAACAGGAAGTGATGTCAAAGGAGAATGTCTGCATGTAAATATACATGAAAAAATGTTACCTATTATTTTATTATTTGATATAAATTAGTCATCCTATTTATAATGTGTTAACGTTTACTGAAAGATTGATTTAAGACACTTTAAGGCTAATTAAGGCCTTATATTTTTGGATTGATGAATTCAATGACTTTTGACTTTTTAAGGATCCGCAGGAACCCTGACACACACACACACACACACACACACACACACACACACACACACACACACACAAAGAGGTTTTGTGACATTTGAAACGCACCGATAAACATCCAGACAGCGAAGCGGACCCATGTACCAAAGTCCAGCTGCATCATGAGGTAGATGTTGACGAAAACACTGAACAGGGGCAACCAGGGAAGCAGAGGAACCTTGACAAACAAAAGATACATTTTATATCTCAGCAGCCAGAATAAATCGACAAAAGCAGAAACTAACAAAACCAAAAAAATAAATAAAACCTCTGGTTGTGGGTGCGATGCTTACCTTGAAAGTGAGCGCCTCTTTGTTCTCCGGCTGCCTCCAGATGATAATAATGCAGACGACACAGAGCAGAGCTAAGATAACACAGGGCACTATAACACCAGGATGGCCTTGGAGCAGCTCTGTCAGACAGTTCGCCAGGATGATGCAGAGTGCAGTGATGAGAACCGCTGCAAACACAACAAAGATTTATTCACACCACTGTAAATAACGCCACTTTGTTTTTCACCATGCTTAAAAACAAACGTACAGATGACAGCAGTGGCAACGTAGACGATGGTCCCGGAGGTCTGCGTTGGGGTTTTTCCGCTCGGACTGAACAGCAGCTTGACAGTGAACGTCTCCTGAAGGGGTCTGTCCTCCGTCTCTGGGCCGTACTCATCACTGCTGTCCCCTCCGCTCACAGCCACCTTCTCCCCTTCCACCAGCTCCACCAGTTTCTCCATCTGGCTGGAGGAGTTCAGATTTCCTGGCTGATACCTACAGGAAGGATCATCGATTTCTTAAAACGAACGAAGTTTTACATGGAAACAATTTGTGTGTAAAACCTCTGCGACCTCTGCACAGCAGCTCAACAGATTATGATATAACTACGATTTTAAAGTAGCTTTATGGGTACAAGCTGATGACATTAGCTCATTAGCCAACATAAAGTATGTAGCACGCGTACAAGTCTGAAAATCAGAGAATAAAGTGTACTCACCGCAGAATTAGGACACAGATGGCTACCAAAGAGTAGGCCAGCAGAGTTCCTATAGACATGAGGTCAACCAGGGCTGCCAGCTTGAAAAGGAAAGCCATCAGAGCTGCAAGGAGAGATTTTTAGAGGTTATTTTAGAAAAGTCACACTGTAAAGTTTAGAGTGATGCACGTAAGGGGTGTGGGAGGAGACGAGACAACAAAAAACATCCGAGTTGCTGTTTTCACCGCCCGTTTCAGGAGGCGTTATTGATTCTGAACTGACAGTGGGATGGACAGAGCTGAGACAGGAGGCGCAGCTGTAACCTATAATCAACAACTCGACAGCAGCAGGATGACACAGATTATTAACRAGCAAAAGAACGGCGTCTCACCTGCAACAATACCAGAGGCGATGGTGGCCAGGATGGGGGTCTTTGTGCGGGTGTTCATCTTGGACAGAAAGCGGAACAGCAGCCCGTCCTCGGCCATGGCGTAAATCACTCGAGGCATGGGAAACATGGAGCCCAGGAGGCTGGTGGACAGAGCACAGAGGGAACCCACGGCCACGATGTACCTGGCGGGGGCCCAGCCCACGTGGCTGAACGCTTCGGGCAGAGGGCTGTCGGTGTTCAGCTGGTAGTACGGCATCATCATGGTCAGAGCGGCAGAAACGCCAAAGTAGGCGAAGAAACAGATGAGCAGCGAGGCCACGATGCCGATGGGTATGGACCGCATGGGGTTCTTTGCCTCTTCGCCTGAAAATAAAAAATCAGATGGATGTTTGTGGCGTCACTCAAATTAAATATTAACTTTGCTTTTACGCCTGAGCACCTAATATATTTTTAACAAATTAGATTTCAGATTTCAATTCTTTATTCATATCATTAAAACAAAACAAATGTATATCAAAACCACTAATAAAATGAAATGAAAGGCAGCAGAGAAGGAAAAAATCTTATATCTGCCCCCTTTTTTTCCCCAAGAATAAGTTAATATAACAAAAATTATTAACAAAACAAAAGACAAGAAAATCTAATCCCTCTAGAAC